TCATAACATAAAATCTGCAATCTTGATTACTGGCATGCACCGACAAGTCGATTAAACACGGGAAAATAAACTTTTGCCTACCGAATCTCAAGACTTCTAAATTTGTTGTATTATCTGAATATCTTTATTGACAAATGAGCTTCCAAGGAATTACTTGCAATTTAGTATAACTTACCTCCAGAGATTTGATTGTTTGATTTTGTTGTACATATATTATTCATGAATTGATGCTAAATGACTATTTTAATGTTCGCCTTGCTTCTGTCTGTGCTGGGATTAATTTTGTGTCTTTCAATAACTGTTTTTATTCCTAACTGCTGCAGAATGTACTGGGGTTGAAAGTCATCAAACCGCCGTCTAGCGCGGCTTTTTTTGTTCTCAACTCCCATCATTGCATGCAAAGAGAAATAACGATTTTTAATTTCATATATTCATTATTCAGTACCAGCAGCGCCTTTCGGTATAATAGCAAAGGTGGGAGGGGGGGGATACTTACCCCCCCCCCTAAAAAAAAGAAAAAGAAAAACACATTAACAGGTAATAACCTTCAACAACATTTTAAAACCTCACGATATCAAAAGTATTCCGACACATCTCGCGACATCCAAAGCTCCCTTCAGATTTTGCGTCACTCAATTAACGCACTCCATCACACTTCGAAGCATTGAAAACAAATAAACAATACACGAAACCCTAGACTTCTCAGAAATTATAATCTGCTGTGTTAACTTCTGCCTCGGATTTTTTTATCGCTTACGGAATCATATCAATCAAATGAGCCTAAAGCAGTATAAAAGGCATCGTTTGATAAAACTGAAACGACAGCAGAGGGTAATTTGTTCCACTATCACACTGTTTTTCGAAAAAAAAAAATAATTCTTAAATAGCGCTGTCTAGCACCTATATTCACGTACGTTGTGAATATAATCCACAGGCGCGAATAGGTAACATGGGAGCGACCGGTAAATTTCAAGTGGAATGCCAGTCTAAGAGTGAAATATACAGTTAAAAAAAAAAAAAAAAAACTTTACTCGAAGTTTTGCTTTGCGGCTTTCCAGTGTATTCCATTTCAACATTTGTCATGAGCGCGTTGCACTGAACTCTCGATCTTTTTCAGATTTTTCTAAAACAAACCTAGCCGCTAGGTTTTGAACATTTTCTAATTTATTTTTATCTAGACTAGTTGGGGGTCCCACCCACTGCAGGCATATTCTAATAAAGCTATCACGTTTGTTCTATATAATAGTTCCCGCGTAACCTGTTGAAAGTTACGGTGTTCCGGCGCGAGAATCCCAAAGATTTGGATGCTTTTGCTGCGGTATGATCTCTATGCCGATGCCAGCTCAACGAGGATGCAAGGTAAATGCCTTAATACTTGTAATCTGAAAACGTTTTTAAAAGAGTGTTTTTGATATCGTAACAAGAACTGGTGGTTGTCTGTTTTCTAGAAAAAGTCATGCACACGGTTTTATTTAGGATAAACTACATCCGCCATTTTTCGCACAATTTGTTTATAGTATCTAGATCTTATTGAATGATGAAATGGTCACTATCCCATGTTACATATCTGTATAATATGCAATCGTCTGCGAACATTCTGATGCATGAAGTGACGGACTCCATAATATCATTCACATAAATTAAAAAAATAATAAAGTTCCTAAAACCGACCCCTGTGGGATTCCTGATGTTAGTTGTGCAATTTATTAAGCAGAGAAAACGCATCATGACTGGACGTCATAATGGAGTGCCATTCAAAGCATGTCAAGGCAGGGTTGGCTCATGACATGATTAACAACGCGGTTCAAAGGTCATGTTGGCACTCCATTATGACATCAATTCAGGTTGTGTTTTCCCGGCGTAATGATGCAAAATATCCTGAAGAATTCATTTTCAAGCAGCTTTCGTACATTTTTGCAAAAGACAAAAAAAAAATAAAACAGGAAAATGCTCGAGCACAAAAAGTTTGCAGTCATACCGTTCTTCCATAAGATTTCACACAACCTAAAATCAATCGGTGATAAGTTTGGCTTACGCATGCGTTTAGCACATATAGTAGTTTGAAACAGTTGACTACTTTCGTTTCCGCCCAGAAAGGTTGGTTGCTTAAAAAAACACAGGTAAACTTGTGTTACGTGTGTTTCAGGTGTAGTCTACAATATCCCCTTTGATTCTGGTTTGTGCTATATAGGTCAAAACAAGCGTTGTCTTAATGATTGACTAAGCGAACATAAACGATGTGTCAAAAACAAAGATCTATATTCCGTGGTATCCAAGCACATTCAGGAATGTAAGAATTGCGTGCCATTGTGGAACTCGACAACCACAATTGTAACAGAAAGAAACGACCACAAGCGCCTGCTGAAAGAATCAATCGCGATAACCAAGCATGGGAGTGCAGTGAACAAGCCTTCTTTGCCTGTAGAAGCGGAATCGAACCAGTTTCTAAATCTCTAATGCATGGCATTTTTTAACTTAAAAGGTGTTTTCTTTTTTTACCTAGTTTATGTTACAACCCGTTTTGCTCCCTTCGTGTAGTCTTATAGCTCACACCCTCAGTGAAGGGTCCAACGCAACTTGTAATTTTCCCTTGTTTCTTTTTCTTTTTTGTGAATGATGTGTGGATTCTTGGTGCCGTCAGATGGTTTGTTGGTTTGACCCCATTGTTAGAGGTCAGGTGTCGTATTTTTTGTTGAGAGAGATGATGTGAAGAAGGGTTCTCTTTCCTTCCTTCTTTTTTCAACTCAATATAAAGGGTTCTGTCCTCAATAAAAATCTAGCTGTGTTTGAGACGTTCGCCTTCTCTTCCTTGTCATCGTCTGTCAATACACCAGTCTCGGGTTCTTTCACCAAAATGGTTGATATACGCCAGCTTACTTGCGCCCTTACGTTCTGTTCAGTATTAACTCAACCCATTCACACACTTCCCGCTGTGCACTTGGAGAAGCCCCACGACGTAAAAATCCTCGCAGTTTACAACTGTTCCTCTTATTCGTGCAAAATTATTATTTATAACAAATACTTAATGCCATTCGAAGTCTATACACCTGGAGTGGCATTCATTCCTGAAATGTATACGTGTGCCTAATGAACTGTAGAGACTCTGCCTAGCGTAGGACAGACGGTGCGCAAAAGCAGCGGTAACATTAATAACCGCGTAACGTCGAGCAAAAAGAAAAGAAGAGTGCCCTGAAATGTGTTTACCTGCGTCCAACGGCGAAGCGGGCGTATGGAGCCAATATCGATCCGTGAATTACTCATTAGTATTTAAAAATAGCTCACACGCCGAGAGCAAAGCACGCACGCGGGTGAGCGCAGAAGAGGTGCTACAACGTCAAGGGATTATGATTACGATATCTACATTCATGTCTCGTTAATATGAACTCCAATAATATACATAAAAAATGTTCTAGAAGCCGGGGCTCATCATGATTAAAGATAACCCGCTTCTTACAGAAAATTTATATCTTGCCAGATCTGAAGATTTCAGATATGGCCATATCAAAAATTGGCCACATATAACCTGATATGGTATATCTGCCAGATATAGCCTGATACCCCTGGCCAGATATGGAAATCCCAGATCTGGCTAAGTAAGGAGATTCCAGATCTGGCCAGGCATTTCAATAGTACAAAAGCCTGCAATCAGCACTTTACATCTTTTTATTGTCTACAATTCTCCCAAGTGCCCCGGCCCGCACTCGAGGAGTTATGGAAACGGTGGTCCTTCAGCTCCTTAGTGGTCGCTACTTTTGACCAATTCCATGATTACACAGTCTCGAGTGTAATTCATAGTCACCGTGAACAAGCCTCCCATAGGGCTCAAGTACCTATCATATCACTTTTAAGTTTTTCGTCAATGGCAGCGTTCAGGATATTGTGCATTCTGTCCAAACTTCAACCAGGCTGAGCCGCCGAAATCTCTTACCATATTATCGTTCTCGTGATTGTTGTTTTAGCAGGAATTACTTAAAAGCTGAGAAATCACAAGAACCAAAACCGGGATTTAGCTCGGATTCTGCGGAGCTGTTTATGACATTTTTAGCGTTTCTAACTTAATATCAGCGTCTTTGAAGTTGTACGAGAATGATAATAATGTAAGAGATATGTCTGCGGCTCACCCAGGTTGAAGGTTGGACGGAGTGCACAGTACTGACACTGGCGGGACATTTTAAAAGTGGTATGGCAGGTATTTGGGTTCTGTGCAGCACATGTTCAGGGCGACTCCAAATTACACTCAAATCTGTGTAACCATAGAATTGCTCAAAATTTTCGATCACTAGGCAGCTGAAGAAACACCGTCCCCATGATTCCTCGAGTACGGGCCGAGGCACTTACGGGATTTAGCAAATTGTCTATTCGGGCGTAATGTTAACACTTTGAAATATTTAAGCTACATTGAAATCCTAGCGAAAAGTAGCACAAATAAACTTAAACTTAAGCTTGTCGAAGCTGAAGTTTGGAATTATTTGTGCTAACATTTAGGTCGCGAACAATAAGTCATTCAGAGTTTTCTAACAAAGAATTTTTTTACTTGTTTTAACTTTTTAATATATTGAAAACCGGCCGCCAGATGAGTCTGTATATACACCAGATAAGTCTGTATATACGCCATATCAGGCTGTGTATATGCCAGATAAGACTGTAAATATGCCATATAAGTCTGTATATACACCATATCAGGCTGTATATACGCCAGATAAGTCTGTATATACGCCAGATAAGACTGTATATAGGCCGTATACAATCATATAATGTTTGATATGGCCAGATATGGCCCAGATATAAGATTTCCGTACGGGGCTATATGGACACAATTTTCGGGGCGAAGTGGCTAAATACAAGCCTATTTGAAAAACTTACTCTATAGACGAATTTTGATATCTTTATTATTTTAGGGAGGGGGGTGTCGATATTAATGAGACAGGATTTCGACACACTTTGCGTCCTTCGTCAGAAGTATACAGCGCAGAAATTGACAATGTAGGACAGGATCTCACCTTGTGGATGAAGACAAGTGGAAAACATCACTTCGAAGTGAGAAAGGAAAACAAACTGGAGACGAACACGGTAGCTCTACAGCCCAGCTGGTCCGAAAGAGGACAACTTACCTGCAAAGACACACAGAAAAAAAAACACGTTAGTATAAGAACGACGCTTTCTTAATGTGGATTTTGCATGCGCAGTTCGGCCAGTTGGACGAACTTTTATGTGGAGAGTTCTGATCCTTTCATATCTCAGATTGAGCACGTGATGAACTACACCTTCGGATGCATGTTACACGTGTTTGCCCGGATGGAGTGCCCGGCAGGACTTCGTGCTTACGGTGATGTATATTAGTCATCTCGTGCGCAGACCGGGTGGCAATAAACGATTATAATTAAAACACGAGTGTTTCATCTTTTACTGACCTTGTTTGAAGTATTAATTATTTTTACTCCATCACATCATTTTGCGTGTTCTTTGTAGATAATGTTAATGGCACAGAAGCGAGCTCGTGCTTACAAAAATTGTTGTACTTGGTCGAGTGCTCTCCTAAAAAAATATATATATATTTCCAGATCTACCTGCTCACGCCCTCTTACCTTAGGTAGAGTTGCACACGCCTTGTAAGAAAGAGGGAATGGAGACGAATTAAAAAAATCGTACGTTGCTACATTCTACTTTCACAGCGTTGGCGTAATGAGCTGGGAAGATTCGGTGCAATATGACGTAAACAACTGTAGATGCTACACGTTTCTCGTATGGCACGGTGCTTTACCCGTGTTATCTATTTTTTTTTATTCTTAAAAACGCACGCTTATTTTTTTTTTTTTGCGCGGTAACTTATTGGCTATGAATATCCTCAATTTCTCTACCGGGATTTCTTAAAACTTTGAAATATGAATATATTTATGCCTCTGCAAGTTTGCGAGAACATTACGAAAATGTGGGCAATGTAGACTGGAGGTCTACAAGCTTATTGGGGGAACGTTTTGATTGGACTCATTGCTATTAGCGTGACCTGGTTACACTATGCTTCTTAAAGGCAATCCTATAGGTTTACCTTTTTTTAAAATAAATGATCTCTTCACTCGATCAAAAAAAAATAATTAGGGGGCCTGCAGAAATGGTGTTTATTATAGGTGGTAGAAATTGACGAATAAAAGTAAAAACAAGACGCTCAAAGCAAACGAACCCGGTTTAAAAACAGTGTCGTCTTGAGTACAAGGCCCTGCCCTTAAAATATAACATACTTTACTTTTTTATTCGTTAATTCTTAATGGTTTCCTAAAGTGTCAGATTAAGTCGGCTTACACATTTCTATACTGACCACAGAATTAAACGAGGTAAAATTAGTTAACGGTGCACGACCGCAGCTGATAATTATTGCAAAGTTCGGAAATTAAAAAAAAAGAAGAATAACAAGATTTCGGGAAATGATGCTGTAATTAGTTATTTCGGTGCCAGTAAAATATAAAACGCAACGACGTCGTGGCTTGTTCTTTTGAACACCGGGGGCTTAATTAAAACTTCGGTCTGAACCAGCTGCATAAGTTTAAGAGACATTCCCAGCTAGGTTACTTTCAAAGAATTCTTTCTATTGGTCATTCGCCAAAAGACAAGCCGCAATTTTAAAATAAGAAGATACAAACAGCGGAGCGCGTATCGTCGTGACCATTCAGAATTTTGCAGCGGAACTTGGGGGAACTTCTCCGACGAGATTTTATTCGGTGTTTACCACCGTGGCATTATCTTCATTTTTAGCTACGCTACTCGTTCCGTGGCACTCGCCGTTTTAATGATAGGCGCACACTTGAATTGCTGCACATCCTAAACAAAGTGGCGCCAGTGATCGCCTAGTAACAAGAGCACACAAAATTCAGCGTTGTCCTTTGTAGTGGTGAGTGATCTCGCTGTGAGTGTTTTGGTTCAGTCAACCAAGGACGTCTTTTATTGCAACTTATTGATCGCATTGATAGCGCATTAGCCACACACTCTAAAAAAAGCCCGTGCGTCTGCTTTTCCGCACAACACTCGGAGAGCCAATCACCGCAACTTACGGAGGCAGCTCAGCGAATGACGATGCCGAAACATAGGTTTAGACCAAAAAAAAAAAGCCGTTTACAAATCCCTGTAACGACGAATTGGAGCGCAGCTCTTGAGGAGGAGGAGTGAAGGGTACTGAGGGGAGGGTAGACCCCTCCCCCTTCTCCTCCTCCTCCCCTCATTCTTTAATATGCTCCGGGGGGGGGTGTCACGTGACTTCGGGGAGGGGGTCACGTGACCTCGGGGAGGCGTGACCTGGGGGTGACCTCAAGGCCACGTGACCCCAAAGGTGATCCCCACGTGACCTTGGGGTCACGTCACCTGGGGGGGTCACGTGACCTCAGAGGGGTCACGTGACCTGGGGGTCACGTGGGGTCACGTGACCTTGAGATGACCTTGGAAGGGGCCACGTGACCTTGGGGGTCACGTGACCTCGGGGGTCACGTGACCTTGGGGAGGCGACCACGTGACCTCGGGGGTCACGTGACCTCAGGGGTCACGTGACTTGGGGGTCACGTGACCTTCAAAGGGTCACGTGGGGTCATCTTGGGGTCACGTGACCTTGAGATGACCTTGGAAGGGGTCACGTGACCTCGAGGGGTCACGTGACCTTCAGGGGGTCACGTGACCTTGAGATGACCTTGGGAGGGGTCACGTGACCTTGGGGGTCACGTGACCTTGGGATGACCTTGGTTACGCCGACGGCGACGGCGACGGCGACGGCGACGCCGACGCCGACGGCGACGCCGCTCAAGCCGGGAACGGGCCCCTAAGAGCTGCGCTCTAAAAACGCAGTCTGAGTTGTGACATTAAGCAATGCAAGCGTGACGTTTTGCATTGCTTAATGTCACAACTCAGACTGCGTTTTTTGGTCTAAACCTATGTTTCGGCAGTGTCATTCGCTGAGCTCCCTCCATAAGTTGCGGCGAATGGCTCTTCGAGTGTTGTGCGTGAAAGTAAACGCACAAACATTTTTTAGAGTGCAGCCCCTTTGGATTCTTGAAGAACGACGCCTCTTATAAACAAAATTCAAATGGCTGTAATCGAATGACTCAGCGGAGTCTTCCAATAAAATACGCAGCTCCGCCGGCTCCACTTTCGGTCGCCACAATGACTATACTCCCTTTCACGATAACTTGGCGAACAGTGGAAGCTGCGGCCCCCGCGACCCAATAAAGGCACCGGAGCAAGGCACGTGATAACACTCCAGGGTCTCCAGAGCAACAGAGCCCTCCGCGACAAAAAGTAGTTCTAGGCTTCTTTTTCTTTTTACGGCATTTGAACTCTCGCGATTCCATTTATTACCAAAAGATATGATGAACAAAGAATAAATGATCACAAATATATGAGTTTCAATTATAATTAAACCAAAAAAAGTGACGCCACATCCGTATCCGCTCAAATTCTTTCGCCTTGTAGCGCTGGGCCCCCGTTGGCAATCGCCGGCGATCGCAGCTGTGTAATTGGTCGTTTCCGCTCAAAACATCGCACAGTGCCCTGGCATTAGCACTCGCCACAGATTCGCGGCTAAATGGAGCGTATGGTTGTCTCATGAACTATTCCGGATGTGCTCGCTATTCTAGCGGACGGATGTGTTGCTGCGGTGGACGTTCATCCGAAGTTGGTTGGTTTTGGAGCAGACGACTCTTGCCTAGCAGACGACAGCCGTTCCTCCGGACCTCACGGATCACATTTGGCGTAGTGACACAAGTGCTCCCGTGATGTCGGGTCACGTGCCTCGCTCCGACGCTCTTGTTGGTCGTGGGGCCCTGGCCTCCATAGTTCGCCAAGTTATCGTGAAACGGGGTATAGAATGTGCCCCTGCCAGCGTGATTTAAAAAATCCGGGCGCCAGTCCGCGCTGTAAAGGTGGTTTCCTAGCGAAGGTGTGGTATCACCTGCAACGATTTCCCACTGCACTATACCAGTGATTGACAAAAGAAAAGTAAATGCACTGTAAATTCATAAAAGTAATGGACAAAGCCCACATCAACAACGCTGCTTGAAATCGCGATGACACGTTACCAGTTCTCCAGGTGAACGCCAAGGGAAGGAAGAAGCGCGAGATCTATTAAACGTTTTCGAATATTCTTGTAAATTAACTTGAATACTCCAAAGCATTAAACTGTACGTACAGCCGAAGGCCCTTTCTAAATCTCCCATGTTGTTGTCCGTGTAGCATGTATTCTTTCTAGCACTGGTGACATAAGCAAGCTCGACAGGCTTGCAAAGACGGAACGGCCGGAAGTCGCTTGGGGCGCAAGCGGCAGTTTATATGTTTGTAAACAGCAAAATCGTCTTACAATATGAAAGGCTAGTAACGTAACTCCCCACGTCGCAAGCTGCCGTCGCCTTGGCAGCTTGTGCAACAGTAATCTTTCCCTTGAAACGTACGCGGTAAGCGCGCTTCGCATTGTTATCAGGAGCGCCTTATTATAATGAATTACCTGGTTGGGATGCTTGTTTTGTGCTTCTTCTTTATGGAAACGAATTATGAGGTGTATGTCGTATGCGTGACATGCACTTTTCGCTTCAATCGAGGAAGATTTTTTTTTTTTTTTTCGTAAGTACGACGACAATAAGTAAAATTCCAGGAATCTGACCTTTGAGTCATGTACGGCTTCGCTGTAAAATAAAGAAATCCAGCGTTGAAAAAAAAAATGAAAAAGATGAGTATGTCAGTTGCTTTAAACACTGAACGCATCAGCCGATTTGAGGTACCCTAGGCATCGTTCGGTTACATTCGGTCGCCGTTCGGTTGTTCTTATTTATTTTTTTCCTTGACTCTACACTCTAAGAAATTTGGAGCGTCTACTTTCCCGCATAAATATACCAATTGCTGCAATCAACGGAGAAAACTCGGCAAGTAAGACAAAAACAAAATATATGTAAAAAAAGAAACATCTGGTTCTTTGGTGCTTTGTTGCAGAGTACATAATTTGATTCGACGTTCCCATGAGGGCCATGTTCCCCTGAAAACAATCGAGGCGAACATTGTTCCCTCACTCAACCCTTGGTCCTGGTCACCGTGGTCGAAGCAGAACAGCCCTTGTTTCCCTGTCCTATGCGGAGAGCAAGTCGCC